AACAGTTGCAATTAGAATTGCTGCCACAGTTGGTGCAAATTTATCGGCTGCTGCACATCTCATGCGGCCAACTGAAAAAGGTATATATGAAGAGGATGATAATGCATTAGGTTTTTCGAATCGTTCTGGCTTGAAATGCAATGAATCATCTCCCCAAATCGTAGGATCACGATGAATCGTTTCCACATCTATCGTATAATCTCTTCCGTTGTGTATTCGATGTATATGGCGTGTTGCAGGATATAATCTCAATGTTTCTTTAACTATAAGGTTTAATGAATTACCTTTTAATGTAGAATAAGATGGATTTTTTAGAAAAATATTGATTGAATCGCTTAGGTTCTTAAGATGAATATTTTTCACCCTTTTTGAGTTGTTTTTGATCAGTAAAATTTCTCGCACTTTAATCTCTAAAATTGCATAAAGAAGAACCCTCCACATTGTTTCGTATGCCGGAAGTATAATATTTAACGGAGTTTCCAGTTCATCTTTTGTAGGATTAATAAATCCGGAAGTTGGTTGTGGTAATTCCTGGGTATCATTCAAGTGTTTATGTGCTATTTTTGAGATTTCTTGTATAACATTAATGTCCTTATCTTTGTTTTGTGGCATTAAAGCTTCGTTATATAACTTGCTCTTAAGCAGACTTATTGATTGCTGGATTGATTCTTGGTTATTGTTATATTCTTTCGATTTCAGCCAAATATCATTTATGATTTTAGGAATGTCATCAATGATTTCGTAGACATTTGCGTCAAACTCTAAATAACCGCGCAATATAATACTCAGCGTTATTTTCTGAACCCAAGGAACAAGTTCGATAAACCCAGTTTTAAAAACCTTTTCGTTCTTTACTGTCTCGAGAGCAATATTTGCGAATCTTTCCCATTTGTTATTATCAAAATTAATTGTTTTATGAATAACTTTTATGAATTCTTTATGATAATTTTCATTTGGATTGGTGAATGGATTTGATATTTGAAAAGATTTCTTTAATCTTTGATTGGGCATCGCGCGAGAAAGTATGTCACTATCAATGAGAATCTTGCGTGCTTCATCAATATTAGTAATGAGGGATTTTTGGATGTTTGAATGATGCAATTTGCATTTTTTATAATGTA